AGAGAGAGAGAGAGAGAGAGAGAGAGAGAGAGAGAGAGAGAGAGAGACTGAGACTAGGAATGCCAGCAGGGGGGATTTGCATTGGAAGATGGGAATATCTGTGGTAAAATGGCTCAGACTTGAACAAGCATAGCTTTGCAAAGTTGAGCTGTTGTCAAGCTAACCTTGTGTGTGTATCACAGGGAATAGCAGGACGTCCTTGGAAAACTATCTCTTAAAGTTGACAATCCTGTGTCTCAACAGCCCCAGATGAATGTAAAAGGGCAGTATCGTCCCAGACTCCCTACTGATTCCTGCATTCAAAATTTACTAAGAATGTTTTTTATGCCAGGCATTATACTGGGCATTACAAATATAAAGAAGATGAATAAAAGATTCTGACCTCAAGTTGCCCAGTCTTAACACAACAGTAATTACCAAGACATTGTAAATCAACTATATTTCAATTTTTTTAAAAAAAAGAAAAACGTGGGGAAAAAAAAAGAGCTTCTCCCTTTCCTGCTTGCAACAGTGTCTCTACGCAGGCAGGTCAAAGCTTTTGAAAACAAACAGAGTGGATTCTTTCCTGAATAATTATCCTATTCAGGGACAGTTAATGACATCAACTTTTCTAAGCTGCAGTCTTAGCAGTTTCTTTGTCCCTACAAAAAGCACCAAAAGAAACTCTGCTAATTTAATTAGATGTGAAGAACTAACCTATCAGAGTGATCACCCAGTGCCCTCCGGGTGATTCCTCTTGAAGTATGGTATCTGATGACAAGGGTTGAAGAAGGACAGTGCGGTTCACCATCTGAGTCAGTTGCTTGTGTTGACACTTTCTTAGGAGTAGGTTGGGGAGAGCAAATCTTGAGTCAGAAGTCACTTTAGGCACTTTATTTCTGACACATTGTGTTTTCTTCTTCTTGTGACTCTGAGTCAATAGCAAGGCAGGTCTCCTATATATGGAAGAAGGTCTGATTTTTATATCAATCATTGGTAAATTCTCTGTAAACCTGAGGGCAATCACTTAATACCAACTTTAAAGCAGGTCACATAAGAAAGATCCAGTGGGGTCTTCAGAGAACTATATTAATAGGCTGTAAGCAGATTTTTGTATTAATCAAAGGAATAAATCCTCTGTTGTGGGGAGGAAAAAAATATCCATGTCCAGAAGATTTCAGGGAGCATGAACCACAGACCTGTCGAGAAACTTAAAGCCAGCCTTGTGATAATTGAGGTCACTGGTTTCTTTACATTTATAGAGCTCAATTTCCCAAGTGTTATGTGTTAAAGAAACAAAACATCCATCAAATTTGCTAATTTAATATTAAACACAATTTCAAACCACTTAGGACTGGTTTTCAAAGGTAACTGACAGCTTTGTTTTTGATTTGTCTCATTAGGCTGAGTCCTCTTTTACCTTTAAAATAGATGTTTAAAATTAATACCTAGATCTAGATTTTGGACCTTAACATAAGGCTGTTAAGAAACATTCTTTCTGTGTTCCCCCCCTGTACTCTGTTATTTCTAGCTAACAGGTTAGTTGCACTCTGTCTAGACTTCTTGCAGAAAAATATCAACAATATGTTTTTCTCTGTCTTGGGCTCCACGAGGGTGAATTAAAAGAAAACTTAACAGGTACTTTCCTACTTCGAGCAGTTGGGTCTACGTATTTATCTTTCGCTTTTTTTCTTTTCCCATGTTTACGGAACCGCAACCTGGCAGCGTGAGATGCAGTCAATCAAGTATTTCGGGAAAACCTGAGCAAATCCGACCATTCAAAAGAAAACCACTTCACCTGAAGGTGTATAACGACGCTGGACGCACAAAAATAACCCTGTCAGTTGGGTCCAGCTGGCTACATCATGGAATATGGCAAACTTCTGTTTAGTTTGCAAAGCCCTTAGCCGGGAGGAGGAAGGGACGGAAAAGTTTGAGTGAAGGCTTTAAATGACTAGTCATACAGACAGTGAGTCATTGTAAGTTTCCAGTTAATAATCCCCTCTGCCGGGGTAGAACCTGGGCCAGAGCGCTTTATGAGCCACTTTGCAGTTTTAGTGGTAATGGGTCACGGTTTTATTGTCTCTTCCACCAAATGAATACAGAAAATGAAGGACGCCCTGCGTCGCCTTTGAAATGTAGGGCAAACTCTGGCTGGGGGCGGGGAGGAGGAAGGTGGAAAGAAAGAGAACACTGTACGGAGACTGTAAGGCAGGGAACGCAGAGGGCTGATGAAAAGAGAAAGAAGGAATTTTCAGGAGTTGAAAGCTTTTTTCTCCACCTTAGAACTGCTGTTCGTTTTCCCGCGTCCTGTGTAGAACAGGACGGAGCGGGCCACTCCCGCGAGCTGAGAGACTCACGGTCCGCCGCCCCGCGCCGAATCGCACCAGGGCTCGCTCTCACCCCTGCCCCCACCCGGTGACAGGTGGGGCAGCCGAGCTTCGACCAGACCTCCGCCTCCTCGCGCTGCATGCCGGGAGCCGGCGCCGCTTCCGGTTGCTCCGGGCCCCGAACTCCGACTCCCGTCGGCCCCCGGGAAAACCGCAGAGGCGTCGCGCGGGTCCTGTCGGAACTCGTAGTTCCGCCTTCTGCCGCGCTTCATAGGTGGAAACGGGGTTGACCGGGGCCGAGAACTACCGAGGCGAAGGTACGGGTAGCGGCGAGGGGTCAATCTGCTCCGGGCGTGGGGTTGGCGCTGAGACGGTCGGAGGTGGTTGGGGCTGGGTGGGAGGAGATCCGCTCGCACACACGAGGAGGGTTGAGCCGCTGCTGCCGTTGTCGTCGCGAGTGCGGAGTCGGGACTGGAGCTGCTGCCGCGACGACGCCGGGAATTGTGCCGCTAGCCCCCGGGCTTTCTGCCTCGCCGCTTCCCTGGGTCAGCGCGGCCTGCTCCTCCCCGGCCCATAGCCCCCGCCTCCATTTCCCGCCCTCGCTTTACCACACACACGGCCCCCCCGATCATGGATCCTGGCAGTGGTGGCGGCGGTGGTGGCGGTGGCGGTGGCGGCGGCGGGAGCAGCAGCAGCAGCGACTCAGCACCGGACTGCTGGGACCAGGCAGACATGGAAGCCCCCGGGCCAGGCTCGTGCGGCGGCGCCGGCGGTCTCTTGGCGGCGGCGGCCGAGGCCCAGCGTGAGCACCTCAGCGCGGCCTTCAGCCGGCAACTCAACGTCAACGCCAAGCCCTTCGTGCCCAACGTCCACGCCGCCGAGTTCGTGCCGTCCTTCCTGCGGGGCCCGGCCCAGTCGCCGGCACCCCCACCTGGCGTCGCCGCCAACAACCACGGAGCCGGCAGCGGCGCGGGAGGCCCTTCGGGTAAAGGGCCGGGACGCGGGGCAGCCCCGGGACGCGGGAGGTAGCCGGGCTGCGAGAGCGGGAGCAGCCGGCCTGGGGGCCGGAGCTCACCTGGGATGGGGCCCGGGATGGGGTCGAGGGCGCGCCTCGCCGGGCCGGGGACGCGTGGCCGTGGGGCCGGGCGGCACGTGGGGTGCTGACAGCGGCGCCCGCTGTCCTGGGTGGGGCGGCCCCGGTCCGGGGAGGCGGACTGCGTAGGCTGACCGCGGCGGAGGGCCGGTCGGGGCGGGAGCAGGGTGCCGGGCACACCGGAGGGGCCTGGTGTCCGCTCCTCCCCCCCGGGGCCGCAGTTCCCCGCTGGAAGTGGGAACAGTATGGGACGGAGAGGGGGACGGCCGCGGGTCAGTGCCACGAGGCCTAGAAGCGAGGACAGATGGAGCCAGGAGGAGTCGGCCGGATGGGCGTTGAGAGAGATGAGGAGTTGGGGAGGACGACTGGTCGAGTTTTCCCTTCACCTTGGGCCTAGGCGAGAGAGCGTCTCTCGCTGCAATTTCTATTACTGAAACTGTAATTACATTTAACAGATCTACGGCACCGAACCGTCCTGAAGGAATCCCAGGATGCATTGCAGTCTTGCGATGGGGCAGAAACTGTTGGCTATCTATAGATCTTTTTCACCCTTAGCATTTTGTAAGCTTGTGAAGTTCACAGTGTCCCAAAGTTAGAGTTCCTCACTTAACATTAAAGTGTGTAGGAGACTACGCTGATTTGTGTGCCCTTTTTATAAGTGGGATTTGGACTCTTCTTCTTAGTTGGTGACACGTTTAGAATTTTTATTGCGTTAGAATCGTTTGCCTTATTAAGGTTGCTTGGTGTAACTCTCTCTCTGTGCTCCTGTGTCAGGAATTAGTCTGTTCAAACTTATTAGGTGTCACACGTCGTTTTGACCATAGGGAGTAGATAGGCTTTCTGTGGTTTCAAGTTAAGTTGTCTTCAAAACTCTTTGAGTATTTAGGGGCTGCTTAAGTGATGGCATGCTTTCAGGTACTGATTTTGTAGGAATGTCAAATGAGTGAACTTGATTTCTCTTTAAAGTTCTATATTGTAGCATTTCTTGGACAAGTAGACATTGTAAAAGTGCTCTAGGAGTTTAGTTTCTTCAGAGACTTTGGCTACAGTTTTCTCTCTAGAGGCAAAAAGCGAGTTTGGGGAAATGTTTCTGGGAAGTATGTCTGTGAGCACACAGTTCGGATTTGCTTGTTTTATTGACTGGTATTTCTTTTACTGTGTGAAGCCGTTGAAGTTTGCCCTTTGAATAAGGAAGCTTAGCTTTGCTTAGACCAAGTCCTTTGGGCCACATAAACTAGTTCGCTTACTAACTCCTAAAAGTGCCTCTTTCCCCAAACCTTATCATGAAGTTTGCTTTTATCCAGCCATTTTATTTTTTGGCCCTCCCTCCTAACTCTGGAGTTGCCAGTCATCAAGGGACCATCGTCCTTAGAGCAGTGGTCTGGAATGGTGGTCATTCTTGAGTAAGTAGGCATTACCTCTTATGTAGAAGGACTATCTTTTCTCTTCCCGGTATTTGCCAATTTGCAGTTTTAATCCTTTGCTCTGTGACACTGCTAGAAATTGGAGATGTAAGAATGTATAGGAAAGTGGTTGTCCCTACCTTATGGTCCCTACATTGTGGTCAGTTTTTTCTTTTTTTAATCAGAAACCTATCTTGGTGTTACTGACTCTATCAGCTGCTTCTGCAAAATGCCAGTTAATGTTAAAACAACAACAGGAACAACAACAACCCATCCTTTGTAGGATGTCTGTTTGGAAAAGAATGGATTTTCTAAATTGAGGTCCAGAGTTAATGTGGCACCGTTGGATTGCATGTTCCAGCTCATTCAGGTCCATAAATTACCAGCATCAGAGCAGAGAACTATGGAAGAAGCAGGGAAAAAATTGGAAATAGCACTTAGGCTGAAATTTACAAAGGGGAAACCATAAAGTTTGCAAGTTTTTTATACTGAGGAAAGGGACTGTAGGGCTAGCATGTTTTCTTCTGTTGTTAACCCATAGCTGAAATTGGTGGTGGGTGTGTTTTTAAACTAGATACCAGGGGAGCTCTTGAAGGAGTCTAGAGGTAGAGCACTAGAATGAATGACTTTTAAAATGAATGAACGACTTTTAAAATGTATGTGTCTGGTATGAATATCTGTCATTCTCTGGAAAGAGGGCTAGTTTTCTCTTTTTCTCTCTTCCTTTCTTTTTTCTTTCTTTTTTTTTTTTTTTTTTAAAATTATTTCAGTGGTGCTTTGAGCAGCAGGTAGAGGAAGATGCTTTGGCACAAAGCGTCATTCACTTTCACTGGCAGGCTGCTGGTTAATGCTTATATCCAGCTATCTCGAGTCAGAACTTGGGATTCAGTGTTGACCTTGGATCCCTTTGAAAATTTTTAATATAGGTTTCCAGAGAAATGATTAAGTAGAACTCATGTAAGTGTAATTAAGTATAATTCACTTAAGAGCAGTTCTCTACAGATGCAAGTAAAGTGGTTAAGTGATGGTCGTTTAGAGTCCCTGAAATGAATGAAAATGTAGACAAGGGTTGTGTGTGCTAGAACAAACATTTTCTGTGATCGAATGTACTTATTTTCAGTTTCAATTTGCACCAAGTTCAGTCTTGCTCTGTCTTTTTTAGTGTGAAATGAGAAACAGGTTCAGCAATGTTAATCAGGGTTACTTGGTGTTTTGGTCTGTTTGGGCTGCTATAACAAAATACTGTAGACTTGGTAGCTTGTCAGCAACAGAAATCTATTGCTCACAGTTCTGAAGCCTGGAAGTCTGAGATCAGGGTGCCAGCCTGGATGGGTGAGGGCCCTCTTTCCTCTTCTGGGTAACAGAATGCATACTGACTTCTTTCTGTGTCCTCACAGGGCTGAAGAGGCAAAGGAGCTCTCTGGGGCTTCTTTTAGAAAGGCACTAATCCCATTCATGAGGGCTCTGCCCTCATGACCTAAGGCCTCCCAAAGGCCCCACCTAATACCATCACTTTGGGCATTAGGATTTCAACATACGAATTTTGGGAGGAACGCAAAACATTCAGGCCATGGAATCTGGACTTTTAGACACTGCCAGAGCTTCTAAAGTAATGGCGTAGAGTTCGTACAGTTCTTTCTGTCATCCCACCCTCAATGCCTCTCAAAACTCTGCGGTTGTAAAATGGGTATAGAATAAAAGTAGCAGTCCCCAGTGAGCCCTTAGAGGGGGCTTATCTCCCAAATATAACGAATTATATTGAATTTTAAAGAGAAATGTTCTGTTTTGTAGTGTTTGGTTTTTGCTGAATGCCTTGTGGAGAAGGGACTTTTTTTTGATGATTGTTACGATTCACATACCATAAAATTCACCTTTTAAAAGTTCAGCGGTTTTTTAGTATATTCACAAAGTTGTGCTACCGTCCCCACTTGGTGGATGCTTGTGAATCACTGAATTTTCCCAAAGGTGACCTCCTCAGGGCCACCAGAGTAGAGAAGATCCAGAGTCAAAGTAATGGTTGTTTTGTCCAGAAGGGCTCTTACACTTTATGTTAAAGAACACCAGCTGACTGATAGTTAAGTTTACATAGATGATAGATATGGTTCTCCACTTGACACTTGTTTTTCTTTTCCTATGTGACTGAAATGCCTGCAATAACAATTCTAATAGAAAGGATTTTTCAGATGGGACAGTGAATGGGATACGTGGGTTGAGGAGATTAGAGAAAGTATTGTTCCTGGAGTATTATTTCTTTTCCTACCTTGACTTACTGATTATTAGAGATCATTCGGTTTTGGCTCTTGTTTCATGATTTTACATGTTGGAACGGCTCAGGTGTGAGGATATAGGGAACAAGTGAGGGCATCCGCTAGTGCTATGCCATGTTGAGCAGCTGTTTAAACTGTTAGAAATTTTGATTGGGAATAAACCTTCTTTATTTTTTATTTATTTATTTTTTTGGCCATGTCACTGCATGTGGGATCTTAGTTCCCTGACCAGGGATGGAACCCGTGCCCCCTGCAGTGGAAGAGCAGAGTCATAACCACTGGACCGCCAGGGAAATCCCATGTGAATAAACCTTCTTTAGAGCAGGTTTTATTCAGTGCTTTTTGCTTCTGTGTGTGTGTGTGTGTCCTTTGTTTATTTTTCACCTTTTCTGGAATTGTACTGCATGAAAAGATAACAATTAAAACATATCACAGCGAGTTAGGGAGAACAGATTTTAGCCTTGTTTTTTTTTGCTGGGGAGGAAAGTTAAAATAGCGTTGTCTTTCTGATTGGAGAGAAAGGAAGGAAGAAGAGATTTGATAAACTTTTGGGGTGAGTTAGCAGTATTAGAATGAAATTTTTTGAGATATGAATCTCTGGTTTTGCCCAGATATATGTATAGCAATTAGTGAACAGACATTTGCCTGCCTACAGAAGGCAGGATGCTGTGCTAGGCACTTGAAGTGGTACCACCAAAATGGAGAACTGTTTCTCAAGGAGTCTAAAAAGGGATCAGATACCCAGTTTACTCTAATGGAAGACACTTCTTGGTAAGAGGGCCAGGTACAGGGTGTAGAGGGCTTTCAAAGCTGAGAAGAATTGTTCACAGGTACCCTTGTATATATTCAGTCATGAAATCTTAAAACCAAAGATCTGTTTTCTACTAAGTGTTCTTTGTGAATACCATAAGATTGGGGGTGAGTTTTTTGAGCTATAATTAACATATAAAATTCATCCTTTAAGTTTGTTAGAAATTTGCTAAAGTAGAGCATCAGTCATCTTTACACTACTTGTAAGTAGAAGCTTGCTTATTTCATATCAAACAGGAGTGAGTTACTGTGATTCTGGCTGTCTATTGGGCATGTTAATTTAGAATTTCATCATTCTATTCACAGTTCTTAGAAATGTTGGGGAAGCAAGAATTTGGCTACTAGTTGAAGGCCCTTGATCTTTCTGCCGTCCTCAGACTCCTTTTTTAGCTGTCAGTTGCTGATTCATACC